TATATTATTATTATTATTATTATTATAATTATTGTTATCATCATCATCATAACTATCATTATTATTTTGTTTTTTCAAATTACAAAACAAAAGCAAAGAAAAAAGAATATTACCATGAAAAACAACTGTACCAACAACTGATTGCATGTATATTCAGAATGAAATGAATGGATCAAAGTTTTTTTGGTATCGACTAGAGCAAATGACAATAATTATTATTATTATTATTATTATTATTATTATTATTGTTGTTATTATTAATATTATTATTGTTGTTGTTATTATTATTATTATTATTATTATTATTATTATTATTATTATTATTATTATTATTTTGTATATTGAAGAAAACCATTTTTTTATTTGAATGTTAAAAAAATACTGCTGATTAAATAGCCTGACTGTAGCTTTGATTATTCATCAATGCGTGAACCATCTCAATAACATTTTCACCAACTAAGTGCAAATTTGTTCAATGTACAAATGGTTCATCAAAACTTCAAACAAGTGTCAAAAACTAAAAATGGGCCCCACTTACATTCCCGATTTCGCGGTGCAACTTAGGTGCTATATTTAACAAAAGGACAAGCTTTCTATCATTTTTCTACAACATAAAACTTATATACTTCCTCTTATCCAGCCGTCCATTCTGAATGGAGGTTTAAGATTGTCCAAATCACAATGTCACGTTTCTACACTATTTTATTTTTAATTTTTTTTCTATAAACTATTTTAACACGAAATCTTGTACGTCCAATCCTCTATTAAACTCGCACTAATGAAAAATATAAAAAAATATTTTCAATAAAATAAAATAACTAAAATGCCTTTGAAAATTTTAAGGGGTATTTTGGTCATTATATTTTATCAAAAACTTATTTTTAATAATTTTTTTATAGGTACGCCCCAACGAGATGATGACATGTACTAAATTTCATATTCATACAAATTGTATAAAAAAAAACTAAAAATAAAATACTTTGAGATGTCGGATCTAAGATCAAACGGTGAGTAGCTCTCTTGATTTAAATTGGATTGCTGGATGATAGGAGAAACATAGATCTTCTATACTGTAGGAAAAATATAGAAACCTTTCCCATACAAAAACTTAAGAAGATATTAGAAAACTGGAAGACTCGAGTGTTCGGCCCTAAATCGCCGGCCTCTATCCACGGGCGATTCCAGAGCCGAATAGCCCGATTTTGAATCACTGCTTTATACTAAAAATTTGCTCATTGGTTGTATCGATCTAAGTAAATAAAAATATTTTGTACGTCAAGGCCTATGGCAGACTTATACAATTACGTCAAGAACAAACCATTAGTTGAGTTATTCCATCTAGAATCATTTGTATGACTAATTTTAGGTTGTTTAAATTGATAATTATCAAGGAAACTCAAGAGCAAAAGCTTTCTTTTTTTTTTCTTTTTTTTTTAAAAAAGAAAAAAATACGAAGGACCGATCTGAAGGGCTGAAAAGATCGCCGATTAATAGGCAGCCAATATAAAAATCGGAAAGAAGCCGCCCATAGAGACAAGGTAGGGCCCACCGCCGCTGCTCCCCCACTTGCCCATGCCCTCATACCCCACCCATATCTAACCCTAGGTCAACTTATATAACCATAGTTTAACCATGGTTAACTTGAACATATACTCTCTACTCTCTCTCTACTCTTTCTCTCTCTACCAACTCATTTTCTTTGCACCTTTCCCTCTCTCTCTACCCTATTTTCTACTCACCCCTCACTCTCTTTCTCTCTCTACAACCCTTTTTTTTTATGTACCCATCATTTTCTGCTTATTCTGAGCTCTTCTTCTTCTTCCTCTCTCTTCACTGAAACGCATAGGCCAACCAGAACTCCTCCCTATTCATGTGTCTTTCTAGGGTTCCAAATCCATTATTAGTTTATATCCAAGGAAACCCTTTTTATTTCCTTTATTTCTATATCTCTCTTAATCTATCATCTTTTTTATTTCTTATTCTATTGAATTTAGAGTTTTTTTTGCTTGCCTCTTGACAGCCCAATATATATCATTACTGTCTGTCTAGAATACCAAAATCCTAGTAGTAGTTTATACACAAGAAACTCTGTTTAAGTCCTACTTCTATTCCTGTTTCTCTTTTCTTTATTTTCTATCTATCCTTTACTTTTTTCTTTACAATTTTCTAATCTTTTTGGGCTTTCTTTAGCACTGAAAGACACAACCCACCATTGGAAAACATCAAGATTTCTACAAGTCCAAGGTTCCAGTCCCCTTATTTGTTTAAACCCTAGAAATCCATTTCATTTCCTCTTAGTTTTCTCCTTGTTTCCAATATTTTTTTACCCAGTTCCCATCAAAAAATCATTTCTTTCACTTTTTTTTTGAATTATCTATTTCATTTTTAACTCTTTTTTTTAGTACTGCTAACTTATTTTTTGTTAGGGTGTCCACCTTTTTTTTGTTGTTGGGTTTCTGAGAGCCGGCTAGAATTGATGTAAGTAGCCATGGCTGGCTTAGATCTAGGCACTACATCACGGTTTGTACACCAACCATCTCAGCTCCATAGACCAGACTTGCACCAGCTGCACACCTCTGAATCCCAATTTTCTGGTCAAAATCGCGACAGAGAAGATGAGAATCCTATGGGGGGTGCCCCGGGAGGACTTGAGCTTGTGACCTCTAGCGACTCCTCAGGCAGAAGGCCACGGGGCCGACCCCCAGGCTCAAAGAACAAACCAAAACCGCCTGTGATAATTACACGAGAGAGCGCAAACACACTCCGAGCGCACATATTAGAGGTTGGGGCGGGGTGTGACGTTGGTGAATGCGTCGCGACGTATGCTCGCAGGCGCCAGAGGGGCGTCTGCATACTGAGTGGGACTGGGGCGGTGACCAATGTGAGTCTCCGGCAGCCGGCGGCAGCTGGGGCTATTGTGACGTTACACGGCCGTTTTGAGATTTTGTCACTCTCAGGGTCCTTCCTGCCGCCCCCCGCCCCTCCTGGGGCAACCAGTTTGACGGTTTTCTTGGCCGGAGGCCAGGGGCAGGTTGTGGGGGGAAGTGTTGTGGGGGCGTTGGTGGCAGCTGGGCCGGTGATTGTGATTGCTGCTTCATTTGCAAATGTGGCCTATGAGAGATTGCCAATAGAGGATGAGGAGCCCCCTTTGCAGATTCAACCGCCAGTTTCTCAGGCGTCGGCGACCCATTTTTCGGACCCCAATTCAGGGTTACCTTTCTATAATCTTCCTCCTAATATGGTGAATTGCCAGTTGCCGGTCGATAGCCATGGTTGGGCTGGGAACCCTAACCGCCAGCCTTTCTAGAACTCATGATTGATGAAAGGATGTTCAGGTACTCGATTCTCTTTTGAGTGTGATCAAGACAGGATGGGAGCTAAGAGAGGATTGAAGGAATGGAAATTCACTTTTGGGTTGGATTAACCGCTGTTGCTCATGTTTGTTGATGATCAGGATCGCGCACAAGTGTGAACAAAGTTGTCAAGAGACGGATTTTTGGCTGAGCTGCTGGAATTCAGTTGCGGGCCGTTAGTCGCCTGTAGTTTTTTGCGAGGTTAGCATGTTGATGGATTGTGTAAAATTATGTTTTCCTTCTCTTTAGCCCCTTTTGATTTCTGATTTCTCAGTTGTTATTCCCCATAGTTAGAACCCTTCTGTTTCATATGCTACTGGTTTGAGGCTTTTTCTTGTGCAAATCCATCTTTTCACCTTGATAACTGTTGTCACAAGAACTACTGCAAGTGATGCTACGAGTTAACCACTACTGTTGCTTCTATCATTTTGTTATATTATATGGTACTACTACCATGAGCTTCTTACAAGAGAGATTTAGGGTTTATTGGCCAATAATCATAAAATTTTCCAAATGGGCAATCTTAGGAAGAGAGAATTAGGGTTTGGAGGTGTTGATTGGATTTTATGAGGACATTGCACAAAGAAGATATTTTTTTTTTGTTTTCTATGGTAATTCGGAAGAGAGGCTTGGGATTTCTAAAATGAACTGTGAAACTAAGCTTATAAGTGACTTGGGAGTACTTAAAAATGAAATTACATGAGAAATTCTCCCATCTTATTAGTATTTTTTTGAGTTTGATGTTAGTGAGACCACATTAACAAAATAGGTTAGGCGTTTAGCATTCAGGGCTTCTTGGAAATGAATAGTCCCATAAACTGATGTTCATGTGTGTGTTTCTGAGTGTGTGTGTGTGTGTGTGTGTGTGAGAGAGAGAGAGAGAGAGAGAGAGAGAGAGAGAGAGAGAGAGAGAGAGAGTATACTTACTTACTATTAACTAATTAATACTACTAGTATACGTTGTCGTGTAGTAGTAGTACGTAGTAGTATTAGTTATTTATTACTTACTTTACTTCTTTACTTATTAC